GGCAGAGTTTCCTTTGCTTGATTGTTTTTTTGTTTTTTTTTTCAGCAATGCCTGCCTGCCTGCTGTTGTCAGCCGAGAGTTTATTAAAATTCCAAAAGTGTGAAAGAACTGCAAAGCACTCGAAAAACAACAAAAGCCAACACATGTTTTCACGCCTACCTCCAAATGCGACGCCTTATATGCAGATTAGCCGTTTACATCAAGTATTTATGTGTGTGTGTGTGTGTGTTTGTGTTTGTATTCCCCATATGCAAAATTGGAAATTATTCAAATTCAATTATTGTCAATTTTATTTATTATTAATGCGCATAATTGTCAAATTTGGCAAATTTATGAACGCCGCTAAAAGGCACAAATAAAATACACTGAGCGGACAATAAGCACACAATATACGAGTGTGTATGTGTGCGTGTGTGTGTGTGTGTGTGTGTGTGTGTGTATACTATATTCTGAGTTCTCTGCTCACGAGTTATGCAAATCAGTGCCACAAGCAAAGTTCGAAGTGCCGTCGCCATGGCTGCAGAATTCAAACGTCGGACAAGATTTTTGTGCGCTTTGCGCCAATCCGCACGAATTTATGAGACATGTTGAAATGCATCTCACCTTGATTATGTGGCTGGCTGACTGGCTGGCTGGCAGCAGCCACCAAAGACGAGCCAGGCTCCTTTTATTTGTTCGCTTTTGCAGTTGCAAGCTCGCCCATTTGGTGTCCAAGCCATACGCTCGGTTTGTCTCCATAACACAGTCGCAGTCGCAGTCGCAGTCAGAGTCGCAGCCCTCCAGCCCCCTTCATCTAAGACTCTCGAAGATTAATGGCAACGCGTTTAATTTGTTTTTGGGTGTTCTCTGTGCAAGACTTTGACTGGCAACAACAACAGCAATAACAACAACAACATCATATGCATATTTCTTGGCAGTCATCGTGTGCCTGCGCCGACTTTGTTGACTCTGTAGTGTAATTCACTCACATTGACACGTCATATGAGCCGTTCGTAACTCATGCGCGGAGGCACAGGTAGACACAATAGACAGAGACGACTGTTGCCCGTTCCGCTGGCTCCGATCATTGCTGCGAGATCATGGGATTTGCCCTTTTGCTGGGCCGCTGAAGCATGCCTAGCATGTGAGTGCTTGATTGTACAAAACAAATGTATCTTTCGTGTGCCTAATGAAGTAACAGATGGCACTACAAAGTTGCTTTGACAACACTTCTGAGAGAGCTCTGCGCGAATAGTCTGTTTTCAATCTACATAAACTACGTCTTCATGTTATGGGCTCTTGAAGTGTATCAAAATTAGTTTTATTAAGCGCTAAATAGTGTTCATTTCATTATATAGTAAATGATTTAAATGTTTCGATATTTCTGTAACTGCAACTTATGCTTTGTCTTTTGCCTGAATCAATGGAAGCTCTTAGATTTAGATGGACCCATGCATTGATAGATATTCATATATAAGACACTTGATTCTGACATAGACATTCTAGATTCTAGAATCGTCCGTATATTTCCTATCAGAATAGCCCATAATGTCTGTGTGGACTTAACATGCGTGCCGGGGAACTTTTAGGAGAACTCTATTATAGATGAGCTGCCAAGGAAAAAACTACCTCACGATAAGACAGAAATATAAATCGAACCCGCTCGTCTAATGGTTTCTGAGAAAGGCGCATTGCCCCCTCCTTGTTATTGTCCCACAATTAGAGCAGCCCTTTCTTAATTAACTAATACTAATTGTCGATTACGAGCAGGTTATTTCTCAACTAGAATTTGTGGCCTGAAGAATAAATCGCAAAAAAGAATGTGTGTTGTGGCAGCTCTCCAAACTATTTAGGTACATAACTTGATTGATATTTCATAAATCAATCGAAAGTTTTTTATGCACATTTGATTGTTGAATTGTGAATTAAGAAAATATGAAAAAGATAACTTTTGCATCACAATGTTAATTTAAGCTATAGCCTGAATAAAGAAGTGACGTTGATTTGAATGACAATTCAATAGAGCTAGATTTGATTTCTATAGAACTCTAAATACCTTATACATATCTATACAAATGATTTCATAGCTCAGCTTACATGCGAAGTAGTGCCTGTCTATTATTTTACTTTTTAATGCAAAGTTGAGAATTGTGGGACATTCGAGTATATACATAGTAGTATTATAATAAAAATGCATGTTGGCTGCAGCTTTCGCAGATTGAAAACGTTGCCAAAACCTGAGCAAACCTCTGTGGAAAATATTGTATTGCCGGTTCGCAAACCAAGAACATGTTGCCTGTGCTGTTGGCAGCGCTGCTGCATGTCTAGACCTCAACATAATCCCTCATGGCTAACCCTGTCTCTTGTGGTTGTTGCTGTTGGTGTGTTCTTCATTGTTTTCGACATGATATTAAGTAATTCATAAGCGTGTAATTTCGTTTAACACAACCAAAAATAAATGTCTGCAGTTGATTTTTGACATCAAAATTGCAGCGCAACGATGGCGACGATGATGAGGCGAAGGCGATGGCGATGGCGAAGGCGACTGCCAAAGTCAAGGCAGACAGTGGCTTGCTGTTTTTTGTTTTTTGTCTCTCCTTAATAATACACTGAAAATGCTTTTTTAAAAGCATAAAAATTATAACGCATCAGTCACGACACGCGAACGGGACAGACAGACAGACAGTGCTCCCTTCACCAATCTGGGGAGCTCTGCATGTGAGAAAGAAAATCTTTCAACACACAAAGAGCGAGCACAAAAAAATATTGTACTAAACGTTTTTGTTTCCACTTTGCTTGGCGGCCATATTTGAGCGGAAAACTGTGCAAAAGTTTCGTGTAACAACAAAATGGTTTATTAAGAAAGGAAATGAGGCATTTGGCAGCAAAAAAGCAAAAATACAAAAACGACGAAGCGAGTAAAAATAAAACAGAGAGCAACCATTGTTGTTGTTGTTATTGTTGTTGGTTGTTGTTGAGTTGGCAGCCAAACCACAAACGGAACAAAAACTACAAATTCTAAATAATTTTGTTGTTGCTGTTGTTGTTGTTGTTGTTGTTAGTTTTAAGCCATCATATGCAAATTACTGTTAATGACAAGCCGCTGAATAAATTATAAAAGCGGGCGCAGTGGAGGAAGAAATCAATGACCTCAGCGACAGCCCAACAACAACTCTCTAGTTAGTTATGGGGTTCAAAGCATATAGCAAGAGTATAGTGTTTCTATATACAAGTATATATGTATGTATACATTCCTGCATAAGTCACAATATCAGTGGAGGAGCGCGCGCTGTCTCATAATAATGAAATATTTCCAAATAAGATTCATTCCTCCAGATACAAAAGATACAAAAGGCTGTGTGGTTAGTTTGAAGCTTGTTGTTGTTGTTGTTGATGTTTTTGTTGTTGTAGTTGTAGCATCTCCCCACATACTAATTTCAAATTTCAATCTGGCGCGCTGTGACCTTTCATGCCTACATCCAGGCATACATATATCGAGTTATACATATCTGCATATAATTCAAGGCACAGCCACATACATACATATAGTATGTATGTATTTATATATTTTTGTTAATTTCGAAAGCGTATTAAATTACACACTCATTCAAACACGCACATCCATATCGAAGTATTTATATATACAAGCATGTATACTTGTATACTATAGAGTTGGTTGGCGGTTCGCTGGCAAAGTTGAAACAAGAATTTCAAGTATGTTTAACCCAAAACGGAACACAAGGCGGCACGGCGAGGGGAAGGCGGCTGCATGGGATGCCATGCCTGGGCTTAAAGTATTTCACAGGAAATCTTCGAAAACGAAACGAAACGAAGCCGAACAAACCAAACTCAACTCAACTCAACTCAAGCAAACCCAACCAAGCAACCAACCAACCATCCAACAATATGTTCTACACATTTCTTATTTCTTACATTTTTTTTGTAATTGTTGTTGTTTCGCTTTTTGGTTGCTTTGTGTGAGAAATCGAAATCCCAAAAACTAAATCCTATAATGCCTTAAAGGGGCACCAACACAATTGTGTGTGTGTGTGTGTGTGTGTGTGTGTGTGTGTGTGTGTGTGTGTGTGTGTGTGTGTGGAGCGAGCGATTCGGCCGCATTTTGAATTGTGTGTTGTGTGTCTTTTCAGAGCCCCCTCAAAAGTCACACACACACTGACACACACACACACACATACACATGCAGCCGTCCAGTGTACGAGGCAAGCGTGCTCGTAGTCTATAATAATGATAAGATGGCTCTTAATCAGAAAATTTATATGCCCCAGCATTAAGTTTGTTTCTTCTTCATCTTCTTCTCTCGCTCTGTCTTGTGTGCTGTTGCTGTTGTTGTTGTTGCTGGCCCGCAGACGACCTCATGCCCCAAGTCGCTGATGATGGGTTATGCTCGTTTATAATTATAGGTCCTGTCAAATGCTAAATGAAAGGCGCATCAAAAAAGGCCAGCCAGCGTGCAAGTCAAAACTATTCAATTTTCAGTTTAGAGAGCGTTACGCTATGCTGCTCGTTTCGTCTTGTTGTTGTTGTTGTTGCTTTTGCTGTTGCTGTTGGTTGGGCAGCATAATTTTGGCCATTGGCCATTGCCAAAGTGTTTGGGGCGTGCATTTGAGGCGCGCTTTTCATTGGACCACAAAACACGCGACTTCAGATATTCACAAAAAAAAAAAATACCCCATTATGTTGGCTTATAAAAGATTTTATGCAACAAAAGCTTTTATTCAACTGAATATAAGCTTTTAGTAGTCTTGGCTACCAGCATTGAAAATCAATTGATAAACATACTTATTATTGGGTGTGAAGGCCAAGCAAACTCCTAATGAATTGGCTTTTAAATGTAATTTGCATTCCTCTTTTAACTGTTACGTATTTATCATATATTCATAAATATATTAAATTAAAGTTCTTTACACTCTCCTCAGTCATCTAAGTCATTCTTAAATGAAAGCGAAACATCGAAACGAAATGCCAAACTCTACTCTTAATATTATTTCAATCGAACTTACCGCTTGCACTCGTTCCGAAATTGTCTGTAAAGAGAAAAAAGAAAACAAAGATTAATCAAACATCAAAACGTGATCACTTATTTGGAGAGAAATTCAACATACGAGTATGTACGAGTATTCTATGCAATATACTTGTATTCCTGGCATGTTGTTTGATTGAATTAGCACCACAAACAAACTGACACACTAAGCCTGCCCCCCAGAAGAGGTGCCTCAATATATTTTCCCAAAAAATTCTCAGGCTCCAGAACCGCTGCTATAAATCTGCTCTCAATTTTTGTGGTAAACAACAAAAGCTGAAAGGCGCAAATGCCTCGCAGGGCAGTTAAAAAAAATTGAAAAATTTCGTGCAGACTTTGACCGCAAATGTGGCTTTTTTTCTCGGACGCTATAAAATATGATATATATTCACACACTCACACCAACACAGCAACACACACACGCACACTAACACACTCGTAGGCGAGACTGCGAGGCTGTTGGGCAATCAATCAAAACTACGGACTCCATATCAGAGGGCAGAGTGTGAACAAAATATGTGGAGCAAATCAAATCAAATGCAATGCAGCCGGTCCCAAAAAAAAAAAAAACAAAAAACCAAAATAAAAAACATAAACAGAACACAAAAACAAAGGCCGTTTTTTGAGCTGCCTGTTTCAGATCTCATACTTCAAGCTCGGAACTCGGATTTTCACACGCAAATCGCTGCCTCACTTTTTACCTCGACCTTTTTTTTCTCGTAAAATGCTTAAGTTTTAATGGTAATCTGCATGCTAACTATGCAAATTTTATGGATTTGGCCAACAGATTGCAGCAACAAAATCCGCTCTAATTCTGGCCACAGAGCTTTAGGAGCTGTGGAAGAATCATGGGAAAGCGGGCCAGACGATGTTTTCATCAAAATTGGGTTGCAGACTAGTTTATTTTGCACCTTCATGGCCTAATTGCTTTCCAGTTTCTTAAAAGTCATAGTTTGTATATTTCTTAAAAAAAATTCTCTTCTTTAAAATTCGAACACAATGAGTTATCGAAGCATCGGACAAATTAAAGATTCGGGTCTTAACTTGCTTATAACTTGCGTATTTCTAATCGATTCATGTCAAATATTTTGATTTGAATACCAAACAATTGTGCTTCAAGACAAGTCCATTGCAATATATTAGAGTCTAAGAGTCTTAGTCTAGGAATTTATAGACTCAGAGCCCTTTTTTCTGCATCCTCACAATGTAAGATCGCTTTAAGCTCATTTCGGTAAGCAATTCCACATAAACAACAATAAAGTGTCAGTCAAGCTGTCCATTTGACTTCTCTCTTATTTTTATGTGTTGTTCGAGTCCTCGGACGAAATGTGAGTAGCAAAAGAGTGTTGATGCTGATGAGTTCGATGGAAAACAACAACAATAAAAAAGGTGCAGAATGCTCGCTATTTCAAGACACAACAGATCAAGAAACACAAGTAAACACTCATTCGACGTCTCCGAAAATGGAACTGCAAGTTGATACCGATACATACATACATTAATGATAATCTTGATCTTGCCAAATCTATAAAAGGTTTTATGTGTAGTCTCTGCGAGAAGACAAATGGTGTTATGAGTTGGCCAACATTCAGGAATACAAGTATTTCTGCTTGATTTCCAAGTAAGATAAAGGTATGGAACTCTTCTAAAAAATAATGAATTCAATATTGAACCTAAAGAAAATCGTTTCATTTACAATATGATCCATTTCTGCTCGATCCGCTGATCTCTCAGCTATAAATTGCTGCGTAAATTCTTTCAGTATCAACTCCAAAACGTAATGCGTAACAATCCGATTATTTATATCGTGGTATATCCCGGCTATTCAGCCTCTGCCTGTCTCTGTCTCAATCAATTACCATTTCTTCAGCTCTTCGGCTCTTCAGTTTATTTTAAGTCGTTTAGTCAGTTTGTAATAACATGGCTAAGAGTATTTGGCGAGCTTGTCTGTGGATTTTCATGCATTTCACGATGTTTTGCGCTTGGCCCAGGCCCGGGCCCCGACCCGGACCCCGATGGCATCGCAACCTCAAGCTCGCGTTGTCATTTAAGTCATCGAACACGCATTGGTACATGGTGTCAGTGTCCTGGCCGGCGAGAATGTGCGGCCATCGCAGTCGCTCGAATGAGCCTCATTCTCATGGCATTGGCCGCAACATTTCAGCGTTGACTTTTCCCTCCTTTTTATTTGTGTTTGTATTTGTTGTTTTATTTTTATTTTTTGTGCACAGTTCATAAATAATCGTCTTAAGTTGAGCAGCGGCTGGGTGGCTGAGCATTGCGACAGATTAACAACAGGCCCTGCCTCCGTCACCTTCAGCCGCTCGCTCGCACAGCTCCATTAGTCGCAACACTTTACAGACATTGCACTTTTAAATCTGGAAAAAAACAACAACAACATGCCGAGTGTTTTTGTTGGTGTTGGAGGCATTGCAGCAGAGGAAAGAAAGCAACAGAAGAAAAACGAGACAGAACATGAACAGGCAGCCGCCTGAGTCCCACTCCGACTTCGGCTTCGAAGTTGGACTCCGACTTGCTCAAATATTCCAAAAACGTTTCAATGAATGTCGCAGTGCTTCAATTTTTTCACCAAAAAGAACAACAGCAGCAGCAACAAAACAACTGTCGCTGTCGCTTGTCGCTGATCCCATTTTAATATTCTAGATACTTAAATAAAATACGTGTCTGGCTTTGCCAACAAACGTTTATTGTTTGTTAATTGATTTTCAGTGCGGCCGGCGCGGCACGGCAGGGCGAACGAAACAAAGCGCACAAGTTGCTGCTGTTGTTGTTGTTGTTGTTTTTGCTGGCGACGTCTGTTAAAATGCAAAGTGCAACTTCAAAAAGTTGCTAAAGAAAATTTCGTATGCAAAATTTGTCAGAGTTGGTCGCTCTTCTTGGCTTTAACTTTGGCGCAATTAATTTGCAGACAACGACGCAGCAATGCCGACGACGACGACGACGATGTTGGCGACTCAGCCTTGACAACATCAGCAGCAACAGCAACAACAACAACACAAGCCACAACAACAACAACAACAGCAGTAACAGACGGCTACAATTATCAAGGACTGCGCCTAAGTGACCAAACGCTTTGACAGAGTTGACAGGCAATGGCAGCAATGGCAGCGATGGCGGCACTTGGCAGGCCCGGGTCATTTAACGGTAATTACTAAGCCGGCTGGCCAGCAAAAGATTTTCGCGAAAAAACCCAAAACAACAACAACTACAGCAACAACAAAATCGAAAAAACGTGCGCTCAAGAGGCTGCCCGAAAGTCTACCGCCGACAAAGTGAAGCAAGTGAAGCATTTACAACATCAGCAACAACAACGACGGCAACAACAACAGCCAGAGCTGCTGCAGAAGTGAAGCTAAGAAAAGAAAACTCTTTGGAGTCTGTCTCGGAAACACGAAAACCACGACTTTTCTAGAAAACCACAGCAGAAGGCAAAAGGCGCAGACTTCAAGCGCAAAAGTCTATTTATGTGACTATTGAAGTGCTGGCCAGCCAGAAGATTCTTCAGCACTGACTCTATATGTATGTGTGTGTGTGTGTGCCAGCGTTGTGTTGATCCAGTTCACAATTGAGCAGGTTGCTGGTTCTATGTAATGGTATATTTTCATGGTAGCTCAACCTCTATTCAAAAGCTTTTTTTTCAAACATTTCGTTGAGGTCGGGGTCACCAAATATTTGCACAAGTACTAGTTCAGTGTAAAGAAGTGCTCGGAAATGCTCGAAAATGATTTTATTTTATGAATTTTTAATTTACAAATGACTGAGCTTGATCAAATGCTGTTGTTACGATTTTTAGCTAAATTGTGGGTTTCTTATTAACAATTCCTTGACGTTGGGGTCACCAAATGTTTTCACTTGGACTTGACACCTAATCCATGCGAGTGCTGCTGCTGCTCTCCCGCCTACCGAACTATTTCATTCTTCTTTCATTTTTATCAAAAATTCTCAAAGCTCTATCAGCTTATACAATTTTTCAGAAATGTGCTAAATAGAACAAATGAAAACATCGTAGAATCCAAACAAAGCGGCCAAATAAACAATAACCTATCTGGTTGGGCTATATCTGTAAGCTATCTATAATTTATCTGCAAATAAATCTTTAGCTATTTAATCATGCATGCTTATTTTTCATTATAAAACATATATTAGTTTTATAATTAATTGATTAATTGAGGGTTTTATGCAAAACAAATCTATAGCTCGCAGGTAAAGAAGAGTTTGTGAAGAGATCAGTTATTGTAGGACAGCTGTGCATCAAGACTTCAGGAACAACTGTGAACTAGTGTTATGTTCATAGTCCGATATATTGGCCGCAGCACAACAACTTTTATTTGTGAGTGTGTGTGTGTGTTTGAAGAGTTTTTTTCGTAGCCTGAACTGCAGTTTGTCGGCTTAGCGGCTTGGGCTTTGATTTTTGCTTGATTTCTTTCAAAATCAAGCTAAAGACTCAACGATGGGGCCCTAAAACCAAAATAGAGATGCAGTCGATGGCGGCCGATGGAGGCCACGGCGCTCGCCAAGGCACTTGTGGCATGTTGTTGCTGTAGTTGTTGTTGTTGTTATTGTTGTTGTTGTTGTCGATGTTGCCGACATTGCATGTGCAGTGACTGTGACGCCATTTTCAACAACAACAGCAGCAGCAGCCGGCCAGTCAGCCAGCCAGCCAGCAAGCCAGCAAGCGAACAAACTAAGGCAACAACGTATGCAAAAGAGCTGAGAACAGCAACAACAACAACAACAACAAGAGCAGCTAGAGCGAGAGTGGAGCGAAGCGAACATGTCCAAAGGGAAACCGCCAAAAGGATAATCAGCAACAATTTAGTATTATTACACCACGTTCGAAACGATCGAGTGAGAGAGCATTGGAGCGCAGGCCGCAACTGAGGTGGGGGCTAGCGGGGGAGGCAGACACACACACACATACAAAGTTGTCTGTCAGTCTCTGGTTTATTTTATTTTATTTATTTTTTTTGTTGGACTGGAGAGAAGGTTGAGGCTGGAGCTGCGCCCGCGACGACTCAAGTATGCATTTCAAAGAAAATCATTATTATCGATGCGCTGCGGCGAAGGCAGCCGGCAACGTTGAGACGACAACATTGGATGTGGATGTGGCTGTGGCTGTGGATATATGGATGTGGACGTGAATGTGGATGCCTGGCTTTTGGTATTTTCACGTAGCCATAGATTGAGTTTCAATGGAAAAATGATTTGCAAATTGACTTTAACGAATTGCTCGACTGAAGTTGCAGAACAAAAATATATACATAGAGATGGAGAAGGAGAAGGAGATGGAGAGAGTGGGGGATCGTGAAGAAGCAGCAGGTTGCTTGAGCATGTTATGGAATTTTGATTATAGCATTTGTCGGCCTTTTGTGGCGCATACGCGTCCATAGAGCATTAGAAGAGGCAAAGGTCCTAGCCCATAGTCAAAGTCATGGTCTTCGAGTAATTGGCACGCATATTGCGGGCGAACAATGCCGTTTTTATTTTTCTTTGCATTTGCGACTTTCAGCTGCCATTCAAACAATCAGGCTTGCCGCTCTATGCGAAAACTGCTGCTGATGATGCCCATTTCATGGCTAACTCCAATGGCCAACAAAGTTAACAGCCGCCAGGCAGTGCGAATAGCAAGAGGGACCCAACTGACGTCTGATCCATTGGCTGCTCTGGTCTGGTCTGGTTGGTCGGCTGCCCGGGCCATACTGAACGCCATTATCAGCATCATAACGTTGCTTGATGGGCGCATGGGCGAGCAGACTGGCCTCCAACCAGTCGACTATGAGGCGACTGCTTTGTTTGGCATCCTCCTAGAGCGCATCTTCCACTGCCTGTTGCCGTTGCTGTCGCTGTTGCCATGGTTGTGAGTCTGCGGTTCTTCTGGTTGGCCGTCGGGCGCTGCTAGTTCGTATATCATTATAGAAATTACCAACTCCAACTCCAGCAACAGAAACAGCAAGAAGAGCAACAAGAGCCGTCTCTGGCAGCCATTGTTAGTATTTTGCTATTAACGTTAACTCTTTGGCACAATCTGCTCGCTTGATCTTGTTGCGGCGATAGCGCAAACTAAGCAACAACAACAACAGCAACAGCAACAATAGTAGGCACAACAACGAAGGCAACAAACTAAAAACAAAAGCGGGCCATACACAACTATCTTGGGCAGACATAGTAATGCGCCGACCTGACGAGCTGTTAGCCATTGATATCGAATGAAAACATTGACGTCAGAGTCCCCTCATACCTCCCATACATACATATTTATATACTCGTGCGTACTCATAGTTGCTTCCTAGCCATTACTTAACAGCCAGCAGTTGAAAAAGTTATGAAAAGTTATGAACTGGGACTTACCAGGACTACCAAGGAAGACTGAGGAATACAATCGCCTGGAGGCGTCTGCATTTCGAGCATCGGCAGGTGAGGACCATTCTCTTCGACACCATCGACCTGAAACAACAACAGAAAAGCCGCTCATTAACAATCGGAAGACGTTATTATATATAGACTGAGCTTATAAAGAAACTTATAGCATTAAATAATATTTGAAAATTAAGAAATATGTACGTATTGCTGAAGAAATAAAATGTATGATGAATGATGATTAAAATAGTTTAAATATGATGCATTATAGAAAGTAAAATACTTCTTAAGACAATCCTATTTTAGCGCCATTGCTGCTTTATTCGGTCAAGTACTTTGGATCTTTCTGAATCTTAAACCATAGCGGCCAAGCAGTATTAGTTCCTCCAATTATAACTTAAGTGAAATTTTCCAATGATTTATAAATTGATTTATGTAATGACACCTATACCCAGATATCAGATATTAAAATTATCATTATAACTTAAGGAACGTGTTAAAACCATTCTACAGTTTATAAAGTCAGCAAATCTTTTACTAAAAGATATTCTACAAAGGAGAATATTTCAGCTGCTAACATCATATTTTCACTTTCCAGCACCAATTCGTACGTTCAAGTGTTGGAAAATGTCTAATTTTCTCATAACTATTTTTGTTTTGCTGATCTTGGAGTTAAAGAGTTGCATTTTCTTTAAAGAAGTGATCAATTGAATGATAAAAGTGTATTTTGAATTGTGGAATACTTTTGTTAATAAATTAACATTTTGTTTTTATTTCTGGTAGCACATTTGATGAAATATTATTATATATCGTATTCTAATTATACTGCACGTTTTTCTAAATTGAAGTTGGCTTCAAAATAGTTAAGCTAAGTTTATTGTGTTTAAAACGTATTCCATTAAGGCAATAATTTTATCAAAGCTAACTAACTAAGAGACTTTAAAATCAATTGAAATTTTATTTAAGGCGTTCCCAAATTCAATTTTCAATGCTTTTTCTATACGCTTCAAAATATAATAATAGTCTGACTACTCTTAATATTTTAGCTATTCTTGAGTTTCTTCCAAGTAGTTTCACTTAAAAACTTTAAACCTTAGCCAACAACTTTTAAAATGTAAATAAATTTAAGAAAAGCCTAGTGTGTGTTTGTTTTCTCGTTTTCATAACTCATTGACAATGCCAGAAATTTTCCAAATTTTTCGGTTTAAGTCCATGCTGGCTGCTATTAAGATCTTAAGCTCTCCCAGCGGCGGCTCTAAGTCACTTGTCTCCCCGATTTGTAACACTTGTCAACTTAAAAATGTGCGCGATATTGACAGTATGTTAAATAAGTTAAGCTGCCGTCACAGCCAACGCACAGTATTTAGTCGAGACACACACACATAGGAGTATCTATCTACAGACACAGACACAGCAACACACAGATACGAGTGCTTCTATTAACTCAAAGTGATAGCCAGGTAGCGACGCATGACTGACAGCGTCCACCTCTGCCGCCTTAAGCCTCACTAAGGCCGGCCTGCTCGGCCCTCCCGAAACTCCCATAGACATACATACGGATACGAATATCTAAAGCCCCGACTCCGGGCCATGAGTCAGCTGCGTGCCGCTTATCAAAGGCCGCCTAGCATGACCAAATCTCACAGTTATGGACGCTTTAAGCGCATAAAACTTTAAATGAAATACGCAGTGCTAAAAAGTGAAAATGTTGTTCAAGAACTTGCAATGAGAATGGCGATGGCTATGGCGATGGCGCTAATAATAATTTGGTTTATTAGCTTTAAAGCACAATGAAGACACTGCCGTCAAGTGGAGGGGCGTGTGCAGCGCTAAAAGAATAGCAAACAGGGGTGAGTTCGAGTCAGGATTCGGATTCGGGCAACACCCCTCGCTGTTTTCATTTCTTTACAGCTTTTTTTTTTACCAACAGCCATTTCTATTTTCGCGAGGGCGCAGACCAAGACGCTCAGGAGGATGGGGAGGATGAGGACGACGCACCTTTATTTAAATTTGTTGCGGCCACGGTGCGCGGACCGTCTAAGGAGGTCCTGGGGGAGGGGACTGGGACTGGGACTGCTGCTTCGTTTTCTTCGCCTTTTTTTTCGTTTTACTTAATGGGCAATTTTCTTGGTAGTAATGGGCACGTTTTATGGACGCTTTTGTGGGGTGTTTATCGTGTACACACAAGGGGACTGGGACTGGGAGCGGGATCGGGACGAGGACGCGTCGTTCCAACACTTGGCCAGTAGCAACAGCAACAACAACAACAATGGGCCGGGCGTGTGAATGACCCGCCACAAGGAAGCCAGCAAATGCAATTGCACTTTGTTTCATTTATTTCGAGGGTTGCCATTTCAAAGAGAGATAGTAAAAAGAATAAAACAATAAATAATAAATAGTAATTGGCCGTGCACCTGCCAGGGCGCCGCACCACAACAATACATTATAACATGAAACACAAACTCTCACACAGACAAGCACAAGCAACAACAACAAGAGCAACAACAGCAACAACAGCAACTACAAATCAAAATGAGCAACCTAATGCCAAATTAATAACGAAAACAAGCTCAAAAGCTGAAAGGCAACAAATTTAACTAAAATAAAATTAATTGACTTGACATCCCAGACAGAGAATAACAAACAAACAATGACAGAGCCGGAAAATAATGGGGTGCGAGCGAGATGGCTAACCAAAATCCAAATTGTTCGCACATAAATCTTTACACTAAAAATTTTATTGTCGTTTTTATTGTAAAAGAAATATAAAAAAAATCATAAAATAAAAAATATATAAACCCAGCGCCGCCGCCACACAAAACTACTGAGCACAGCATAGCGAAGCAGAGAAGAGAAGCGAAGCGACGAGCAGAGCAGGCGGCAGAGCCAAACAGTCTGTGAAGACATTTGCGCTCAGAGAGAGAAAGCGCGCTCACAAACACAGGCACACGTGCATTTGTCGTTTCCCCTTTTTGCAACTGACAGCGTATCTCGTAAGTTGTCGCTCGCTCGCTTATATCGTAAGAAGGCGGCAGCCCGCCATTGCGCGCCATCTGCGCAAGCGAGACGGCACTAACTCCTCACATTTAACAACGACTCAAGGCGAATTGAAGCACGAAAAAAAGAAAATCGACAGTGCAGCGAATTGAGTCAAACACTTGGAAGACGACCAACAAAAACAACAACAACAACAGTCACTCAGTCACTCAACAGCGCAATGAAATGAGACGAAATGAATGCTCAGAGCTCACACACATATGTATATTTAATATTATTTTCCCTCCCTATTTGGGCGAGTTAATGATTTTTGCGTTTCTTCTGTGACTTGCCACTTTTATGCCTAAGGTTATGGCTTCTGCAATATTAAATCAATAAATAGACAAACAAATTTCTAAGCAGCGCCGCAACTTTAAGGCCACAAATTCAATTGAGCCAGAAACTCGAGCAACTCGGGCGATCGTAAATCAAATGAGGAAGTTATGGCCATTTGTGTACATATGTAAAACCGATAAAGGGGCGATATAACAATTGAAGTGTGTGGTGGCTCATTTATTTACACCGCAGAAGGAACTCTTGGATATGTCGCTTGAAAACTAGTTTAGTTCTGGAACTAATTTAAAAGGGCGAAATATATACATACATATTTGAATTTACAACAACAACATTTGCAGTAAAAGTGTTTCAATTTCTATCACAATTGAACGATTGAATTGGAACATAACTGTAATTGGAATTGAGTGCTGAGGACTGAGAAGGTGAGGGCGAACTTTCTCATTGTTTCGATTGTTTAAAACGAATTTGAAACTTGTCTAGAGTGGAACACAACCGTATTTAAAATTTAAGTGCTGAGGACTAGTATGGGGAGTTATGTGAGCTGTTGTTAGTTTTCGAATATATTTGATTCACCTTTATCCAGATTGTTTGGTGTTGGTCGGGTCGGTCGACCTCTAATAACGTCTGCATCGATCTATTGAGAGCGAAATAAAGCCAATTGTGTTTCTTTGGTATGAAGTGATGCTTTTGCCATGAAATATTTGGAATAAAATTTACTCGATGTGCTAATTCTAAGAAGGTACTGCGCTATATATTTGTATTCGTTTTTTTGGGAATCGCGATTGCTTTAATTCAGCTAAGAATTCTTGCAGTTTATGACAATTTAAAGACACATATTGTTGGAAAAATTGAAAGCACTAAACACGACTAAACACGCGCCTTTGTCACAAATCTCTTTGAAAACTGCTAAAGGATTTATTGTTTTCGAAAAGTATTTTAGTTTATTTTGAGTTCAGTGCCGGGCCCCCGCCTGCTACCTTAGTGGCAGCGAATGCTTTTCGACAGTCCCGCTATTTATAACGGCGTCTATTTTTGAGGCCGCAGCGACCTCATTCGATTGTAGGCCCACCCCACACTTTCTCGACTCCCTCCTGCTCTCCCTCCCCTCTCCGCTGCTCGTGCTTCAAGTGTCAATGGCGGACGGTTGGACGACGGCAACGACGAGCGTGTGCAACAGCTCTTTAGTGGCGGTTGGCGTTGGGGTAGGGGAGGAGGGATACTCTGATAAATGGCGCCTACCGAGGGGCCGTTGGAGAGCGCTCTTGGAAACTTCAAAATCGACTGCCATGTGTGGAGCGTCCGTCGTCTTATCAGGGCGCAAAGTTCAACTGCACATTGTCTGACACACATTAGCGAGTAAACTGAAAGCGCATTCCCATTGCTCTAGCTCCAGCCCCACCTCCGCGCCGAACACCACCCCCACTCCCTCTCCCACACACACACCCCCAACCCCACCCCCATCCAGAACAACAGCCATTTGCGTAGTCGCCGACATTTGTATGTAAGTTCTTGCTATATTTGTGTGTGTTTAGATAAAATTGTATTTCGAAAGTGACAGTTGAAATGATTTATCACTTGCGTCCGATGTCGGTCGGTCGTCGTCGTCGTCGTCAGCGTCGTCGTCGTCGTCACTGCCCCCCTTCCACACCCTCTTCAAGCAACGGCCTTTGGCTGCTGTCGTCAAAGTTTTTAGCACAAGTGCCGCGCCTGCCCCTCCCTCTCCGACTCACCCACCCCCTGACTGCCTGACTGCC